CGCACGTAAATGTTTATAAAGTCCTATGAATTGAATCATCTTGTATTTTTAGGTACTTTTGACATTCCCTTCACGCCTACAGGTGCTCGCGAATTGATTCGAAGCCTGTTTTGGATTGGCACGAAACGTAAAGAAAATGTTACCCTCTGCCCCCCACACACGGTCGCCTTAATATCCTCGATTCATTTTTAAACCCCCCAGAGAACGAGTTGGTTTGAGTACATTTTGTTTCTTTGTGTACGTGCGACATCCCTTGGCTTCTGAATTTTGTTAACTTAAGTAGCTTTTGGTGTAGAAACTGTTGTCATAGGCCACACACAATAACAGAACAAACGACTTTTCTATGTTACTGATTTCATGTTAATGTTTTCCTATGGCATGTTTCGGGTAAAATTGTCCATCATCATTACAACATTTTATGTCGTTAATACATTTTTTTTTAAAGCCACGGTGGTCTAGCGGTTAAAACGCTGACCTTGTAATCCTGGGGTCTCGGGTTCGAATTTATAACTTGTGTTGGGCAAGGCCGTGGTCTAGGCAACACGGAGTTTTCCTCCGTGGCATCCCCACAATTACTCCATTCACACACAGAAGAAGGCAATGGCAAACCACTTGTGGATCATCTGCCAAGAACGTATATGAACAGGTCCCAGTCCGAGAAGAGAAAAGGATGGAAGGATCCTGTTCATATGGACCTGCCGTCAGACAGAACACTAAATAAATAAATGCATTACAATGTTACGCAAACTTGTCTCATTTTCGTCTTGCATTTAAAAGGTAGTCTTACGTGTCTTTGAAAAGACTTTTTTCCTGTTAGTAATTTCCCTGAAAGATGTTTCGATAAGCGTTTGATTCTTGGCCACTTCTGTTACTGAGTAAGGCTTGTCATTGTTTCCGTTTCCGATAAATCAGTTCCCACCCTCGCCCCGTGAGTTCTCGCATCACGTGCAGCGAAATAGAAGAGAATCGGGAAACACTCATCAATAAAAGCACGAGAATGTTGATTCCTCTTGCAGATTTCATACGAAACAGCCGGGCCTTTGAAGAATAATGCCTATTGTAGTCTGGGCGAAACCACTCTCTGCCTTACAATTTGTAGTCTGTTATTACGTAGGTGTTTGCTTGAATCAACGGAACTTAGTGTAATTGTAGTGTTCCTACACTTCCTGGCGTTTTGCGTACGGATAATTTATTATAGTTCTCATTGTTTTTGAGTCTTTTGTCTGCTGATGGCGTGTCGTTTTAATGATTGTGAAGTACTTGGAATTATGCGAAGAATTAATTATTTTTTCCCAAGAAAATTCGTAACACAAATGTGTCGGTCCGTTCTCCGACATTGATTTTTAACGGAGGTAAGTGGAATAGTGGTTTACGTGCTCGCCACTGGACCTAAGGTTCGCGGGTTCAAACGCGGCCGAGGTCGATGAATTTTCAACGGTGATAAAAATCCGTAGTACAACTTCTTTCGGAGGAGAAATGAAGCCGGCGGTCCCATGTCGTAGATTTACGAGCATTAACGAGATGTAAGCAAAATTCAGATGCTATTTGTCACCCACGTCTCTCGCGATTGTCTACTAGATGGAAGACAAATCAGGATTGAGTAGAAATTGTGCAGAGGCAGAGAGGTTGTCGCTCAGTACTTACAGATGCACATTTCAAAGACTAGAAAACCTTCCACATGGCCAAAGCCCGAACCTGGGCTGTAGTATCGTTGGATGAATGGAACGTTTTTGACGTAAATATGTCTATATTTTAGGGCCAGTGTCATTCGGCAAAAAGTGGAACGAAAAAGTGAAAGGAAAAAGTGTAATTGCATTGTTATGTTACCTAGCAAACGTCATCTGTTTATCAACAAATCGACAATAATGGTTACCTAGGAAACGTTACATTACTCGGCATTGATGTTACCTATAAAACATTTCATTACATTACATTACATTACAGTACAGTACATTACATTACATTACATTACATTACAATACAATACATTACCTTACCTTACATTACATTCAGCTACCACAGACCCATCTTAAGTGTAACTAATTCAAGTTGATTAAGCAAAGTCTTAATCATACTTATCTCAATTGTAAAGCATGTATAAAGGAATTATTTTGAATAAAGCCAATATATAAACTTCCTTTCCGTGTAGACGTATTTACGTCAAATTCTCCGGAACCGTGGTTCCACTGACAACTTTTTAATCTCATTACTGAAGTAGTCCGATTTATTGTGCCTGCCCGGTTTTACTCAGCCACTCGAGCGAATTCCTTCTTTCTTTGTCTATCAAGGTTACCGATCGAGACCACCCCACACAATTGGTCACCAAATAATCACTGCAGTTGATAAAGCGTACTCAATAACCCTCTATCTGTCCGTCCGATGTTAGTACGGAGAGAATTGTCATTTTCGCCTTTTACAAAAAGTAACTTGACAGCAGCAAAAGTTATATTAGGCCTTCGAGTTCCTTTTACGATGATGAATTGCTCATTTTTGTTTCTGGACGTCTTAAATTGTGTTAGGAAAATCTTTATAAATTTGCCTGCAATTTTTATGAAGATTTTTGTCTGTCCTGAAGTTCGATAATGAAAGAATGGCCACTCAAATTTAGTTACATGACAGTAATTCATAAGAAATTGTGGCTAAATGAATTAAGATTGACTATGTTCTACATCATTAGTATTTGTCACAACTCACCTGAATTTTCAGAGTCACGTTTTCTTTTACTGTTACTGAAGCTGATTATATTCTATCAACGGCACAAAATATACAGTAATTATCGAACGTTTTGGCTTATCTTAACCTGAAGCTCTATGACGAAATTTCGCTGTTAAACTGATGAATATTTCTGGATGTTTGATTTCGTCATCAGGTGAGAGCATAAAACCCAATTCGTTGGTCGAGTGTTTATAGTTGGACTTTTGGTCTGTCGTCTTATATTGTAAAATATTAAAGCAGCATTTCAGAGAATGGTTTCCACTTCCGTCTTCTGGTAAAAAGGACGTTTTCTGTCCCTCAACTCCTTCCTCCTTTCTACATGACGGAAGAAGGGTCTTTCTTCAGAAGCGTTCTCTACATGACGCAAATGGCTCGTAAAAGTGAGGCTGGCGTTGGACTTTTGACGGGCGTACGTACGTAAAGGCCACAGCTGAGCGCCCAAACTGTTTGTCTCCACCGATTCATGTCATGTAGGTCCTCAGGGTGACGATACATGTCTAAAGTCCAAACCTACCGGACTTAAAATATAGAATTGTAAAGAGACCTTTCACCTTTTACCATCAAATGTCAAGTTGCTTCTCATGAACCATAGCACGAATCCTCTGCAGTCTGGGGACATCCGCGCTGACAGGACCATCATTTCTCCATCGGATAACAATTTATATTAAGAAATGGCGATCGGCTGTATTGATAGGAGACGTATTAGCATAATCGTTTAAAAACTGGCTTCGAATTTCATATCTTTTGATAAGTCTGAATTGTATGTACGTTGTATGTTTAATTTTGAGATTGAAATAAAAGTGTAAGGAGGTCTAACGACGCTGGAGTTGAAATTTAACACGTCCGCGGATAAGCGTCCAGGGCAAACGAATTGGCCGATATTTGTGAGCGCAGAATTTGGTAAAGTCAGACTGAAATTCAGGCCTTTTGTTTTTAATGTTGAGTGCGATGTTGGCTGTTGTTTGGAACTGGGGGATTTTGGGTTTTGTGCGGTGAACATGATATTAGGGCGATCGAATGAAGGAGGATGAGATGAACGGGGCATACAGATTTTAGATGGAAAACCTCGACAGAAGAGAGTGCTTGGGAGACTGAGGCTTGGATGCGAAGATAATATTAAAAAATTGACAGTGGAACCACGGTTCCCTAGTTAACGTTGAATAACGTTTTACTGTTCAAGTATATTTGTAGTGAAATAAAATTTTATTTACACATTAATATATACCTTTACGTCTTATCTATACGTGACGTCATCTTCCGACAGCTTATCTAAGTGTTGCGTCATGTACTCGACACACTCACTCTAGAACCTTTCTTTGTTACCAAATAAATGGCCAAAACTCCTAAACTGTAAGAGTTATCTGAAATCTGTTTTCAAATTTGAGAAGCTCGTGTTTATTTACGTATTTCACTCCCAATATGTCCCGATCTAACTCTTACGCTTTAGACGTGGCAAGCGGTTGAAGTTAAGGAACGAGGGTATAGTCATTACATGTTTTGGGTAATTATTTCAAAAATGTGTAAAATATGCATTATAGAATAAATTAAACATCAAGTAGAACAGTGGTATTCAACCTTTTTTGTTCGCGTACCCCCAGATATAATTTCTCTTCAACTTTGTACCCCCAAATTTGTTGGTGTATAATTCAAGTCATACGTAGTATATAATCCACATCTAAAATAAATTAAATTAATTACATTACTGATTAATCATAAAATAATATATACATTTTCAATTTCACGTACGCCCTAAGATGTCTTCGCGTACCCCCGGGGGTACGCGTACCCCAGGTTGAACACCACTGATGTAGAAAAAGCCCTTTATTTACTCTTTAATTTAAATATAGGTTTATATTCTCTATCTTACATAGGTCTCGAGTTATTGGCGTCTGAAGACGTTACATACCAGAGTTACAGTTTCCGTCGAGTGTACCGTGATTTTATAAACGTTCGCCCTGATAATAGAGGCGGCAGACGGCTCTGAAACGTCGTTAAACGTCCAGGAGACTACATGACGCAAAAAACCTAGAAGACAGCCATCTTCAGTTACAAATCTATATAATAACCTGTATACGGGAATGTGGCTACTTTCCGAAACGTCGTTTGTATTATGTACTGCAGAAAATGGACAATGTATAAGTTTCTTTGTGTGATTCGAGGTTTTCACAGCGGTGATTATGAAGATGGTGGAGGCAGTATGACCTCTGTAACGTTGGTAAACATCGGCTAGACTACTCGGCGCGACAACCCAGAAGACAGAAATTTTGATAATTTTCTTGTTTCAGACGCGACAACAAACGAGCGTGACGAGCTCTTCGTGCAGAAGATTCGTCAGTGCTGCGTCCTCTTCGACTTCGTAGCCGATCCCCTTTCCGATCTTAAATGGAAAGAAGTGAAGCGAGCAGCGCTGCACGAGATGGTGGAGTTCGTCACAACGCAGAGGGGCGTCATCACGGAAGCAATCTACCCCGAAGCAGTGAACATGGTGAGTACACATGAACGGCGTACGTGACCGGTTGATGGCTCTCACCGCAGAGAACAAAGGACGCGCGACGTGAATATCGATGTATCTCGATCAACTTTTCAGATTTATTTCCGAATACATGGCGCAGGCATTGTCGTATATGCGGGAAAGGTAATGTGGTTTTAAAATACAGCTTTGCTTTTGGTACGTACGTTCGTACTTTCGTCTCAGCGGCTTTGTTGTCCGACACCGTTATTCATAAGCCACGGAGGTCTAGCGGTTAGAACACTGGCCTTGTAATCCTGGGGTCTCGGGTTCGATTCCCGGCGGTGCCCGAATTTATAACTTGTGTTGGGCAAGGCCGTGGTCTAGGCAACCCGGAGTTTTCCTCCGTGGCATCCCAACAATTACTCCATTCACACACAGAAGAAGGCAATGGCAAACCACTTCTGGATCATCTGCCAAGAACGTATATGAACAGGTCCCAGTCCGAGAAAAGGATGGAAGGATCCTGTTCATATGGACCTGTCGTCAGACAGAACACTAAATAAATAAATAAATTTTACCATTATTCATATTAACACTGTCCCCCCCTCCCAAGTCATTTCCAGACATTCGTAAAATGATGAATTTGATCATTTTTCGAATTTAGAAGTGACAGCGGCCGACGTCATGGTCACACTTGAGTTGCATATTTTTTATTAGTGTTCCTGTGGCTGTTATTTGGCGTGTAATTAATTTGCCCTGAATTTGTTCGAAACGATCAATAAGAGTGTCTAAATATCAAAATGATACATCTTAAGTTTGGTCACGTCGTACGTTGTATTCATGAGAATAGCTTGTGGACCACATTTGACAACTTGGTCATTTGAGAATACCAGTTGCTTATAATACAGCTCTTTTATTGGGTAATCTGTCGATCTCTTCTAATTCGGAAGATTGAGACAGTTCTGAGGATTAGGGACTGAGTAATAATTAATACAGAGCCTTAACTAGATTACGTTCGCTTGTCCAAATTTACAGGTATATTTAAATGTGTGTACCCATCCATCGTGGACGATTTAATTGTCATACGAACTAGGAATTGTTATCGACTCATTTGTCTGAAGCTCGCCTTTTACAGGATTTTTCTCTGTTCGTTTGAGGGAAAATTAAAAACGTTCGGCTGTTTTCGACGTTAACACTTTATACGCCCACCTCCCTCCACAGAATTCTCCCTGAAGATGGCAGCTCTACCTCTTGCTTCTATATTTAATATCCCAGCTCATTCTTGTAGTCTTTTTCCTAAACTATTTATCTGAAGTATAAATTTTTATTCGCTATGCAATCACCTCGATGGGCTGTAGTTCTAATAATCTGCTGACCTGTACATTTCATGACCTTTCAGTAGATACAATTTTTTTTTTAGAGAGAGATTTAATTATGAAGTTCGAGAACTGTGCGAGGTGGAACATAAAGTTGGTATATTGGTTCCATCAATGTTTCTGTACTTTTTTTTTTTTACTGTGAGTCGATGTTGTAAATCAGGGGTTGCCAACCTTCTCCTGCCAATGGCAATATTTAAACTTAATTAAAATGTATTAAAAATGGTACGACTAACTTACTATTGTGAAGAGGTTCACTCAGTTTCGTGTACCATCTGTCATCAGTGAGATATGCTACCGTGCTGATTTATTATTATTATTATTCTCTCCCCAATATCAAGTTTAAATTCTGTTGCGATATCAGTTTATTAGTAAACCGCATCCTAGTTCTTGGTTTTGACAGTCTTCAGAAAGGTAGTATATTTGCGTCATATTGTGAATTAGGTTAATATTTTAATATTTTCCGTCAAATCATAATTTTAATAAGATAATAAAATATAAAATATTTAAAATATCATTTCTTATAAAAAACAATACCTTCGTTCTAATATATAAGAGTAATCTGATAAGAACATTTCAATAAACTGCATAACATTGTAAATGATTGTAATTCGAGTTTTAAAATTTACCAATCTAATTTATACCTGAGGACGGTTAAATATAACCGAAACATGTCGTAAGAGACGTTCCAATTTGTAAATCGATCATTCGATGCGGAACGTGAAATGATATTTTAAATTAAAATATGTAATAATTCAGGTCTATACACAAACTTTATTTATAGATGTTAAAATTTAAAATTTAAAATTTGCGCATCTATAACATCTATAAATAAAGTTTGTGTATAGACCTGAATTATTATATATTTTAATTATAAAACACAAACATGACGCATTTAAACCTTAAAGATATTTTAAATATTTTATATTTTATCATCTTATTAAAATTGTGATTTGACGGAAAATATTAAAATATTAGTCTTCAGAAAGCTGAATACCTGTAGATGTTGGTCTTCTGGGTCATAATTCTGTGTACATTTGTGGATAGATACCAACACTCCCCTGAAATGTTAGTACAGGTATTAACACACAGGTCCACACGGCTTTAAGAATCTCATAACCAACATCGACGTGTTAACCACCTTCAGAACTTCAGATCTCAAAGTAAACAGTTCATAACAGCGATCTGCATTTGAGGTTCTGACGATATTAACAGAACGTTTTCTGTGATTTCAGAGAACCATTTTTCATCATTCTCATTGACAGTGTGGAATTATTATAAAAATACGCGCTAGTTGAAAACCCTTATTTTCTCTCAAATATTTTATTCAGATATTATTAATATCGGATCCAGAAATGTGTATGAAATATTTAATATTAAGCATATTTGTAGTGGGTTTCACGAAAACCCACGTAGTATCTAATAATCCAGTAAAAATGTGATATAGAAATTGGCTGAATTTTAGAAGATTTCTGACGCAATATTTTAATAAGCATTTTTATTGAATGACGTTTTAATCAACGTACGTTAATGGACCTCACATTTTAACATGTTTCTGTAAGCCATGCTTTGAGCGCTGCAGGTAGGATCAATCAAATTCTTTAAAAAGGTTTCGACGTATTTCTTGTGCTCATATATTTCCCTGCGTTGGAGGTTACACCCGTATAAAGTCGTGATGCATGCCACAATAGAAAAATCATTTACAAAATAAATTACAGACTGCAACACCATCCTTTTTTTTACGACAGTCAGAGCACAAAAACCAGGCAATTATTTGCAATATAAACATGAACAAAGCAAATATCCAGAACGTGTACGTACTGGCGACTTTAATTAATGTCTCGACGAAATGTGTATTCATCGAATGATCCATTCCCAGTTTAATTCGGTACAACGAATGGAAGATACGACAGATATAATGTGCTATATCGAAATGTCTCCGCCATAACCAACACAAAACTGAAAACTACGATAAAACCGCCTAAACTACCAGACTGCAAGGACCTACAACCCAGAAGATAGCCATCTTCGTCCTCACCGCCGTGAAAACCATAATTTTACTTAAAATTCTCTTATTAATGTTCAATTCCCGGTGGTGCCCGAATTTATAACTTGTGTTGGGCAAGGCCGTGGTCTAAGCATCACGGAGTTTTCCTCCGTGGCATTCCAACAATTACTCCACTCACACACAGAAGAAGGCAATGGCAAACCACTTCTGGATCATAGAACGTATATGAACAGGTCCCAGTCCGAGAAGAGAAAAGGATGGAAGGATCCTGTTCATATGGACCTGTCGTCAGACAGAACACTAAATAATAATAAGATGACGTGGTCTAGCGGTTAGAACGCTGGCCTTGTAATCCTGGGGTCTCGGGTTCGATTCCCGGCGGTGCCCGAATTTATAACTTGTGTTGGGCAAGGCCGTGGTCTAGGCAAAACGGAGTTTTCCTCCG